TGATGCCGCCTCTGTTCATTGGCTATCAAAGTCAATTTTTCTTTTTTAAATCATTTTGTCAAAGTAGTTTCTTACTAATTTTTAGAAATTTCTCGCAATTTGAGCCCTCCTTCCCTTTCTCATTGCCCTTTTTTAAACTATTCCTCATCTCTTTCATGTTCCCCGCTCGTCTATAGATTCCTTTCTGTGCATCTGCCATAATTGCGAACTCCTTGCCTCAGTTCCTCTTCCAGAGTCTGGTTTGCCTCAAATGAAATTAAAAGTCATCAATCTATGTGTTTTCTAGTGTCATTCCACTTTTAAAATCGCATGCTTAAGTAAGGTCGCGACTTTTTTGCTGACGTTGACCATCTACGCAGATGTCCATCCGCATTGCTTTCTTTATGAGGAGAAGTTCTTGCGACCGCATTGGCCAATTTCAAGAGTTTTCCAATTTGATTGTTCCCGTCTTCAGTCGAAGAAAGCTCAGCTGAAGCAAACTCTCTATCTAAAATTTTTCATTAAGGAAGGTTCAAAATTCCTAGATACATTTATACTACCTCCTGTCATATTGGAGATTCTCATATTTGGCAAGCTTCTGGCCCTGCACAGGGTTTCACTAATCTCTTATTGTAAGCTTGAAGTTCACCGGTTAAGAAAGTATTTTTTAAAATATGTTTGCCCATCGTAGCTTCCTATTAAGGTTGCTATTTCTGGCATTATGATCTGTGCATGTTTATTTTCTGCATATGGTTTGAACTTCTTAACTTGCATTGTGGGTTCACCAAACTAATTTAGGTTTTCAGGATGCATTTAACCCTATTTACTCCAATTCACGGGCCAGTTTTTCTAAATTTTTGTTTTCTGTCCTCAAATTTTTCTTGGTTATTTATCGGCTGAGTCTACATCCTAAAGTAGACCACTTATTTAAGAAGGAAATTACCCTTATACTTCAAAAAAGAGGTAAAATTTGAGGTAGCATAGAGGGAACAAGAAACGTTATATAAATCGAACAGTGGCACAAAAGTGCACATTCAAAAAAATCCACTCATCCTCCGCTTCCTTTTCCTCAAACTTAGAAATGCAGCAATAGAGAAAAGAGTTAGAGCAGTTTCCATGCAGTAGTACAACGTTTTATATCATGTGAACCATTTTTCCGTTGACATTAAATTAAGAAACGAAATTCAGAGATTAAAATTAAACATCTTTGACGAACACGCAATGAAGCTTCAGAATGTTACTCAAAATATTTGACTAGAATTTTGACACATCAAAACAATCAATCATAAGATTTTTGTTAATATATGATAACAGTAGTATTAAATTCGTTTTGGATATATATGAAAATTGTTCCATTCTTCAAATGCATACAACAATTTTAATAGTTATTTTGCATTTACCCTTCATTGTATCAGGTTTACTTATGTTTATACCGCCATATATCGTTGTACACAATCACTTCACCTATTTTACTCGGCCAAAGAATCAAGGCACATCCCTACTGTGTAAATATGTACCATAACCTCTTATCAGAA